CCAGGCAATTCTACAATTTTTGGGTAGGGTGCCATAAGGAACTCTTTTCCGTTTGCCGCTTAGGGTACTTTAACATGGTTGTTTTTGTATCTTGCCTTTTGACAGTTGAAAATTTGTATTTAGTAATGTAATATTCTTAATCATGTAATTAGTTATTATTTAACTGTTAATCATAAGTGTGACTTTGGGAATAATTGGGACCAGCGTAGTGAAAAAAAAAGGGACCTTAAGGTGAAAAAAAAAATTGAAGAACTAAGTCTGCGAGTTGGAAAGTCGTCATATTCTTCATTGTAATAATGTTTAATATATACCTGCTCGAACACCTTTTTGTAATAATGTTTAATACATACCTGCTCGAACACCTTTTTGTAATAATGTTTAATATATACCTGCTCGAACACCTTTTTGTAATAATGTTTAATATATACCTGCTCGAACACCTTCTTGTAATAATGTTTAATATATACCTGCTCGAACACCTTTTTGTAATAATGTTTAATATATACCTGCTCGAACACCTTTTTGTAATAATGTTTAATATATACCTGCTCGAACACCTTTTTGTAATAATTTTTAATATATACCTGCTCGAACACCTTTTTTTAACACTGGATAGCTTTTAGTTAGTATCTTAATACTTTTCAAATCGTAGCAGGACTACTGATGTAACTGCCAAACCCAAAGACTGGGAGCCGGTTTCTCCATCTTTTTACGCATGATTTCCGTGTTTAAAATAAGAGAACTTTAGGAAATGGTTGAAAAATAACTCCTTTGATAAATTTGGGTTCAACAGTTATTTACTCTCTTTTTTTTATCCTGCTGTTGCACATATTTGTTTTACAGTAAGTGTAATTAAGTCGTCAATGACCTTTCAAATATGGATTGTTACGACATGAAGTTTTGTAAATAATTTTGTAAATAAAGCAAGTTTTATTGAGTCACAAATTCATATATAAAATGTAGATACATATAATATAGAAAATACAATCACAGTATTAAAATACACATACAAAAAAAGATATACTTGGAACGATTGTTTCAATTTTGACTTAAGTTAGCAATAAATTAGATGAAAAATGACATTTTATTTTGAAATTACTTATTGGGCTTTCAGCTGGCTTCTTTCATACCCGAGAGAAAGAATACTTAGGATTTATGAAAGGAAGAAATAAAATAGTACGAATTTCTCTGAGCACTCTTACTTTCACTAAATAATTCCTACTACCAACAAACTAATCTGTTAAAATTTCTACCGTTAATTTATAAAGACAATCAAAACTTTGCTCTGACTCTTTAAAAACATTTAAACACCAACTGCGATCTAATACTGTTTTTTTTATTGCTTATCCTATTTAATCCAAACGCATTAATGCTGATTATTTTGATGAGCTTACTTATAATGTCCAAAGAAGTTAAGAGAAAAATTATTTATTAAAATATAGATCATACAAATTTGAAATTATTTAGAGGTTTGTGTTAAATATTGAATTGTAATGATGCATATTTTGTTTGTGGTTTGTTTTAGCACAAAGCTGTATACGCAATGGGCTTTCTACGCTGTATCCGTCGCGGGGATCGAGCCCCGAATTCTAATGTTATTAGCCACCAAGGGACTGATGTATATTAACAAAATGAATTGGATTCACGATTACCGACAAAAGGAGGTCTCGTAAATGTTTTTCAATAATTTGAAAAATTATATATAATAATTTTGATTTAATTGACTTTGAATTACAAAAAGAAAGACAAGGTTTAGTGAATTTAACTAATTAAAATTTAAAGATTTTTACTTGCTCACGCTGAAGGTAAGAAACTGGCCTTTTCAGATATGTCTAGCATACAAGTAAATAGACACCTAATTTTTCGTCATTTAACTAATTATCTTGTGCTACAACATGCCTAGAACTCAAGGTTCTTTCGAATTGTCAGATTTTGTTATAGGAAGGATAGTTGGTCAAGCAGATGGTGGAATAAGTCTGCGGCAAATTTCGCAGAATTTGGGAATCCCGCTTTCGATAGTCAACAAAATCATCGTGCAGTTCAGGAAACAACTGAGCAGAGTCCGGGTCGTCCTGGTCCATC